ACTTCATCATCCATCAATTCATCCATCCGTCACTTCATCATCCATCGCTTCATCACCCATCCGTTCATCCATCACTTCACCCCTCAGTTCATTCACTTCATCATCCATACATCACTTTATCCATGCATTACTTTATCCATTCGTCAGTTCAACCATCACCTCATCCATCATTTCATTATCAGTTCATCCTTCTGTCACTTCATCATCGAACACTTCATCCATTCGTCAGTTCATCCATCACCTCATCCATCCAGTTCATCCTTCCGTCACTATCATCCATTACTTCATCATCCATAAATCACCTCATCCATCCATTACTTCATGCATTTCATCCATCAGTTCATCCATTCATCACTTCGTTTCATCATCAGTTCATCCTTCCGTCACGTCATCCATCATGTCATCCTTCAGTTCATAATTTTGGGATGTTGAGCAGTTCCTGACCCACCTTCAAGCAGTTTTTGCTCTGAGTCCTGACCCACCTTCTCCACCTGGGACATGTTGGACATGTCCATCACCTCCCAACTGAAGGGTAGAACCTTTAGAACCAGAATCCCTAAATGTCCCTGATGGAGAACTCTGGAACTGTCCAGTCCAGTCTAAGCCCACCTGGCTCTGTTTGATGGTCTGGTTCTGGTTCTGACAGGACTTTAGCAGCTTCAGTTGGTATCTGCTCGAGCTGTTTAAACCCAGTTCTCCTGAGATGAACTGAGCAGAACCAACAGAAACTGTGACCCGTTGACAGGAGGAAGTAGTTGATGCAGGAAACTGTCCGTGGGCCCTGAATGGAGGGATTGTGCTTCGAGCAGCATTTAGAACCACTCGGAACATTCCTCTGACGGAACCAGATGGAAAACGAGAGTTAAAAACATCGCCTGCTTTTATTGAACGAGTGGAACGGGGAACGCCCGCTGCAGACGCGTTACAAAACAAACAAATCTCTTTGGTGTTTACAACAAACAAACATCAACACGTCATGTAAACAAAGTCCAGAGTTGACGGAAGTCCGGTCAGTATGAAGACGGAGCAACACAAACACATTTTGGCACCTTGTTTTTGAACTGGTTTGAATGGTTCTAGTGGTTCTGGTGTGCTGGAAACAGAACTGGACCATCATAAACAACACGCGTCAACAAAAGTACAGCTGCACGTTCAGAACCGTTTGGATTGTCTGCTCAGCAGGTGATTGTGCTGATGATGGACGATCTGCGGATGATTCACCCTGTGGGGGCACCGAGCCTCAGAACCGGTCCTGAGGACTTCCTGACAGAACCTCAGGTCTGTCTGGATGCTGGAACTTTCCTCCGGTCTGTACTGGAGGTGTCGCTTTTGACACGAGTCAGGATTAAACATTACGTTTTCCCTCCAAGCAGCCAGAACCGTCCTGTAATCCTGTAACGTGTTCTGGATCAGCAGGTCTCTGGACTTTCTGAAGGTCTTTCAGTTCTTTGGACCTTGGCTGTTTTCTACTTCCATTTCTTGTTCCTGAACATTTTCACAGAATTGATGTAACTTTGACCTCTGACCTCCGGAGGTAAACCAAAGTTGAGTCGACACGTAGAGCCCCCCTCACACAGAACAAAGAACCTGCAGGACCGACCGGGACCGATCAGACCCGGCTGATGGTGAACTGGAAAACCTCCTTCAGTGTGAAGGTAATCAGGGCTCTGCTCTTGGTACTTCACAGTTTTGTTCTAGTTCCTGTTTTTGAGAGGAGTTGCCGTCTGCACGGTGTGGTCGTGTTGGAGCCTGAGGCCCGTCCTTCTTATGCTGCGACCATGACGACAAACCACCATGACCTCGCTACAGAAGTTTTGCACATGCACAGAACCCTCCACGACCCATCATGCTCGATCACATGAACAAACTGAGTTCCCAAACCAAACCTGAAAACCTCAACAGGACCCTGCAAAGACCCTCCATGTTCTGGCTGATTTTCTACGTCTCTGGCCTTGTCCACACAAAAATGTAGTTTTTTTTTTTTTTCAAAACCACTTTTTCCTTATTTCTAAAAATACATTTGTAAACAAAGCACTGTTCCTAGAAACTTCTTCAACCATGGAGAAACACAAAAAATGAGCCTAAACTTTGTGGTAGCTACGCCAGGCCTGCACATGTGATGCTGCCACAAAGAAGAAGAAAGTGTGGTATGATGTCATCATTGTGTGTGGCATGATGTCATCGTTGTGTGTTCCCACACAGAGACAAAATTAGTTCTCTGCATTTAACCCATCACGTGAGATGCACCAAGGTGGAGCAGTGGGCAGCTATGTAGGCGCCCAAGAGGCGGATAGGGATTAGGCGTCTTGCTCAAGGACACCATGACATGAGGGCATGGTGGGGATTTGAACCTGCATCTTTCCAATCCTAAATCAGCTGCCCTGAACCCTCACACACAAGAAACAGGAGCACAACATTTACACGCTGGGTGTGAAATGTAAACAATATGAAACAGACGCCCTCGGGTCATAGGTCAGATTAGAGGAGAGAATGACATCATGGTTTTTAGAAAGTTGTGTTTTGGCTGTCTACATGAAAATGAAAGTAACATTTCATGTTTTCATTTTGGACATTAAAAAAAAAGATACAATTTTCTTCTTCTTCTTTCGGCTTTTCCCTCTTGAGGGGACTCCACAGCGAGTCATCCTCCTCCATCTCACTCTGTCCTCTGCGTCCTCTGTCCTCACTCCAACTACCTCCATGTCCTCTCACTGCATCCATAGATCTTTTCTTTGTCTTTTTTCTGCCAGCTGCATTTCTAACATCCTTCTACCAATATACCCACTGTCCCTCCTCTGGACATGTCCAAACCACTGTCCCTCCTCTGGACATGTCCAAACCATCTCAGTCTGTCTTCTCTAACTTCATCTCATTTATCTCAACCTGTGCTGTACCTCTGATGATCTCATTCCTCATCTTCTCCATCCTTGTCACTTCTAAGGAGAACCTCAACATCTTCATTTCTGTCACCTCCAGTTCTGTCTCCTGTTTTTTTGTCCATGTCTCTGTCTCCAAACCATACAAAATAGCTGGTCTCACCACTGTCTTGTAAACTTTTCCTTTGACCTTTGCTGACACCATTTTGTCACAGTCACTCCTGAAACTTTTCTCCAGCCACTCCATCCTGCCTGGACTCTCTTCTTCACCTCTTTACCACACTCCCCCATTTCCCTGGATAATGGACCCCAAGTCCTTGAAGTCCTGCTCCTTGTAGCCTCACTGTTCCACCTCCTCCGTCTCATTCACAGACATGTACTGTGTCTTACTACGGCTGACTTTCATTCCTCTTCTTTCAAGTGCATACCTCCACCTCTCCAAGTTCTCTTCCACCTGTTCCCTGTTCTCATCACAGATCACAATGTCATCTGCAAACATGAAATGCATCATGAAACCTGAAAAAAATATATATTTTGGAGGTCCTAAAACAGTTTTCATATGGACATGAGACTAAAATGGTGAAAACCCTTTTTTTTTTTTAAGCGAGGTCCTTTTCTGTTGTGAAGGGAGCCCAACAGATGACTTCCTGTCTCAGGTGAACTGTTGTGTTTGTGCTTTGGTGACATTTTCAGCTCTGAAGCTGATCAAGACTCTTCTTTCAGCTGTTCCCTCTTCAGGGGTCTCCACAGCGAGTCGTCCTCCTCCATCTCTGTCCTCTGCGTCCTCTGTCCTCACCACAACTACCTCCGTGTCCTCTCTCAACTGCAGTTATAGAGTTGATCCAGAATCTAAGTCTGCTTTTTGTTGTCAGAACCGCTCTGACTCCACTGTGCCACTAACAAGAGCTGCAGATTTTGAGTCCACGCTCAGTTTGTGGAAAAGTTTCAGCTGCTCCCGTTGTTTCAGAGACAGAAAACAGTTTGTTGTTTTTGTGCCAAGTGTTCAGACGTTAGCTGCGCCATCAGCGGGGTTTGAGTCTGACCAAATAAGAACTTCACTCCTTTAAGTTATTTTAATTCTTTCTTATCTTATCTTTATAAAAAACAGAGCCAAACAGCAGAGGTCAGTGCATGGTTTAACTCTAAAACTGACACGTTTTCCTGCTGATAAATTTAATTTTCGAATGTTGCGCAACTTCTTTGTGTCAGACTGAACTCTTCAGGTGCACCAAGTCTTCCTCCTCTCATCTAAACAGATGCACGACTGATCTGAACTTTCTTTGTTTGTCGGATTCTCAGCTCTACAGCTACTCTGTGCCCAGGAACTGTCTATCTGTTCTTCTGAATACCTGAGTTGTCTTGGTTCAGTGGAAAGCACCAGTGAGCCTTGTGGATCCAATCACTTCTCAGACCTTTATAGCACCATTGATGAAGATCCCAGCTCTTTGCTCTAGTTACTGTCACCTCACTAGAGTCCGAACCACAGCATGAATGTTCCGGCAAGACCCGTGGTTCATGCCTCTGCGTACGGCAGGTGATACTGCTCCTCCCTCTTGTTGCATCGTTTGGCTACGATTGCCAGGTACAGCACCAGCAGAATGAGCCAGTAGCAGCCGTAAAGTATCGTCCCAGCAATCAACAAGGCCTTCTCCGTTTCACTGAACGGCTCCTGAGATTCACAGTAGATTGTATACGCCACGCCCCCGAGCAGTACAAGAGCCCACACCGTGACTGGCACAGCACCAATGAGGTTCACCACGATCTTCCGTCGGCCCGAAGTGCCCCATCCAGCCTTGTTGATGGTGAGCAAGGCAAACATTTTGGCAGGGAGCAGGCTGGACATGTAGAGCAGGGAGTAGAGTGACATGAAGATCATAACAAGGCTTCCACGCAGGAAGCAGGCATAGGTGGCCTTCACCATCCCAACCAGCTGCACCGTCAGTAAGAAAAGCAGGATGTTCCACAGCCTGCCGCGGTAGAACAGATGTATGACTGTCGCAACCAGAAAAAAGGGGAAGAAGCCGGTGACCACGGACTCATAGGTCATCCAGAGACTGTGCTTGTGGAACCACAGGGCGTTGTAGAGCCACTCGCGGAAGTAAGACTTGCTCCATCGAGTCTGCTGGTTGAGCCAGCGCAGGTACTGTGTCGGTGTCTCGGTCTGACACTGGGACCGCGCCGTGAATTTAGTCTTGTAGCCGAAGCTGAGCACCCGGTTGGTCAAATGACGGTCATCGCCGAAGCTGCACTTTGAGCCAAGGAAGGTTTGATGGTACCAGGGCTCCAGGAAGCGCTGCAGCAGGGAGTTCCTGTACATCCCCAACGGACCGCTGATGCACTGAACACAGCCGAAGTACGACTGGCAGGCGCGCTCAACGTTGAAGGCCATCCAGTAACGCACACTGCTCAGGAAGGAGATCCACGAGTCGTACTTGTTGAGGATCTAGAAGAGGACAGAAAAATGCTTCAACAATTTGATCATGAGCTTAAACTTTAAGTTTCCTAGTGTCTGTGCTTTAACTGTGGTCCAATGATGGTCTGCTGTGGACCACCTCTACTGAGGTCCAGTGGTTCTTTTTTAAGTCCAAATTTCTCACATCTGTCAGAAATTCCAACTTTCATGCAGGCTAGGCTCACAGAAGTTGGGATTATTCACAGAAAGTCTGGGGGTGTTTTCCTAACATCAAAATCCAACATGGCTGTCTGGTGCATAAAACGTGGTGATAGCTGCAGTGACGGGCTGTTTATTTACATGCGTGTCATAAAATGTGTGTGAATCCCCTGCAGAGAAATTAATTGGTATTAGCTTATAATGCTAATTATGCTAATTATTATAATTAAAAAAAAAAATAAAAAATAAAAAAAAAACTGTAGTATGAGTTTTTATAATTGCTTATTGTTGTTGCTGTTGTCCATTGTTGTCATCTTTCTTTGTTGAAATCAGGTCTCTCTTGTAAATGAGTCCTCGAGGCTCAATGGGATTTACCTGTATAAATAAAGGTTGATTGATAATTGGTATTAGCTTATAATGCTAATTATTGTTAGCTTAACAGTTATTCAGCCTCTGATTCACTTCCACAGATGGAGATTTAATCTGAAAGTAGCATTATGTCTGATTCAACCATGTTTCAGTCAGAAAACCAGCCGGATTGGCTAATTGTTATAATCAGGCTCACTATTAGCAATAAGCTAATAATGTATAAAATGTATAAAAGCAATTTACAATCAGTTGGTGCAAAGGTGACATATTAAAATAAACTGTTTAATGTTCTTGTTTTAGATGTTAAAAACGTTTTTTAGAGTCTGTTGGGATTTATTTGTGCTTCTCTGAACTGAAATCACTCCGACTGTTTTCTGCTACGAGGGTCTCACAAAAACCGTCTTTAAAAACAACCGGAACGATCCTGAAGGTCGAGTTTCCTCCGAGTTACCTGCACATCCCCACCGACACCTCCCACCATCGGATCCTCCTCAAGGACTTTCAGCATTTCAATGGTACAGGCTGGGTCCAGAACGGTGTCAGAGTCACACACCTGTGAAGGAACACACACACACACACACACGTGCACACTGGTTCAGTGCTGCAGAAGGTCAAACTGAGGCTCAGATTAATGCTGCAGCAGCTGCAGGATGCTGACTGGTATTTATGCTAAAATTCTGCAGAGAAATGAGAAGCTGCTGACAGAAAACCCAGCTGGGTCACCGAAGTCCTGTAGAACCGGGTCAGCTGTGAACAGGACCTTTGACCCAAAGCAGGACGCAGCAGCTGGTCGTCCATCATAAACCCACTGGATTTAAATAAAGGCTTTCTGTTTCTTCTCTGGAACACAGGAGCTGTTTGTAGGAGGCCTGATGACAGAAGCTACTTTTAGTTAGCCTTGTACTAATTTTAGTAACTTTTTAACTAATAACTTTTAGCTAGGGTTTTCAGTCTTTAGCTTTATTATCTCAGTTTCACTTTATTTAGCAGATTTTTAGCACTTGTTTGGCAGATTTCAACAGTCATTCAGCAGATTTAAGCTGTCGTTCAGCAAATTTAAGCGGCCATTCAGCAGTCCTTCAGCATTTATTCAGTAGTCTTTCAGCTGTCATTCAGCAGTTGTTCAACAGTTATTCAGCTGTCATTCAGCAGTCTTTCAGCAGTCTTTCAGCAGTCATTCAGCAGTCATTCAGCTGTCATTCAGCAGTTATTCATCTGTCATTCAGCAGTCTTTCAGCAGTTATTCAGCAGTCTTTCAGCTGTTATTCATCAGTCATTCAGCAGTCATTCAGCAGCCATTCAGCAGTCATTCAGCTGTCATTCAGCAGTTATTCATCTGTAATTCAGCAGTCTTTCAGCTGTCATTCAGCAGTCGTTCAGCACCTCCAGAAGCTGCCATTTGTTTGGTTTGTCATGAAACATTACTATTTATTTTCCGCTCCGTGGTCCTCACCTGCACGTAGTCCACGCTGTCCCCCAGAGCTTTGAAGGCGGTGTACATCACTTCCCTCTTCCCGCCCCACTCCTGCATGATGCAGGAGAACCGACAACCTCGAACGAGCCGGGCCACCTGACCCGTCTCCTCCATGTGCGTTGCACTCCTCCTCCCGCCTCCGACTCCTCCCCCTCTGCTCCCGTCGCTGTGAAAGTTCCCCTTCCACACCATGCTGCCTGCCTGCTCAGCCCCGCCCATCGCCTCCTGGAAAATGTCCATCATGTACCGGTCCTCGGGCCGGTTCCCATCCACCACCAGCACCACTTTCAGGCCCGGGAAGGAGATGCGGCGGATGCTGCGCAGGCACTTCCTCAGATAGTCCGGGTCCTCCTGGTACGCTGCAATGCAGAGGGCCACAGAGCGCCGCAGGTACCGTGGATGGGCGGGGCCCCTCATCCGCCGGTGCTCCAAGAAGGCGAAGAGGCTCTGGAGGAAGAGGTGCAGGGAGAGGAAGGCGCCATACAGGCCAAAGGAGAGGTGGTGCTGCTCCGTGTGGATGAACTGGTACCCTTCAAAACAAAAGAAAACAAGAGCGCCGTGTGTTTTTGTCTCATTACCGTGTTCCCGTCTGCGAGCGAAGCTCACCTGTGACGTAGGCCAGCAGGATGGTGAAGAGGACCACCGCAGCAAAAAGGGTGGTGACCACGATGTTCAGCGCATTCCTGCAGCGAGAGGGCATCTGGAGGAGGAGCAGGAGAAGACCGGTCCATGGACCAGGTGAGAAGAAGAACAGGAGGACAGATTAAAAATCATCATTTCAGGTAAGTTCAGTTTGTTTGTTTCAGCAAACAGAACAAATCTCTGCTCAGGAACAGAACCAGGTCCAAAAGGTCAGAAAAGTGTAGATAAACTTTGAACAGAACAAACTCAGGTCTGACAGAACCTCAGGCTCAGTTTGAAGATTAAAATCAGAAGAAGATAAAGCATTAGAAGTATTCATGCAAAAGTCAAAAGGAAAGGTTTACAAGACAGTTGTGAGACCAGCTATGTTGTATGGTCTGGAGACAGAGACATGGACAAAAAGACAGGAGACAGAACTGGAGGTGGCAGAAATGAAAATGTTGAGCTTCTCCTTAGGAATGACAAGGATGGAGTGGATTAGGAATGAGATCATCAGAGGTACAGCACAGGTTGAACAACTGGGAGATAAAGTTAGACAGACCAGACTGAGATGGTTTGGACATGTCCAGACATAGGAGAGACCATGATTTGGACATGTCCAGAGGAGGGACAGTGGGTATATTGGTAGAAGGATGTTAGAAATGCAGCAGTCAGGAAAAAGACAAAAACTCGATACATGGATGCAGTTAGAGAGGAGGTAGCTGGAGTGAGAATGAGAAGGATGACACCCTGTGGAGACCCCTGAAGAGGGAACAACTGAAAAAGAAGAACACTGAAATTAAAGATTGACCCTGATGGAGCTGCTAGAGTAGAATACTGAGACGTTCTCCAGAGCTGAGTCTGGGACTGACGTCCACCTTCCAGGAGGACAACACTAAAAGTGGATTTACACTGGGCTGTGTGACGTTGTGTCCTACTTGGGTCTGAGAGGTTCTGAACAGAGAAAGGTTCTGAACACACAGAGGTTCTGAACAGAGAGAGAGCTTCTGAACACAGAGGTTCTGAACACAGGTTCTGAACACAAAGAGGTTCTGAACACACAGAGAGGTTCTGAACACAAAGAGGTTCTGAACACACAGAGGTTCTGAACACACTGAGAGGTTCTGAACACAAAGAGAGGTTCTGAACACAGGTTCTGAACACAAAGAGAGGTTCTGAACACAGAGGTTCTGAACACACAGAGAGGTTCTAAACAGAGTTTCTGAACACATTAAGAGGTTCTGAACACAGGTTCTGAACACAAAGAGGGGTTCTGAACACAG